CTGGTTCTCAGTGCAGGTTTGCTGAAGGTCGGGCTGTGGTGGCACCCGTCCTAAGGAGATTCTTTGGAGTTAGTTTTTTTTTTTTCAGTACTAGGGATGGAACTCGGGGCCTCACATATTTGGTTCAAATAATGTACTCATGTGCGATATCCTCAACCCCTCACAGTATTCAAAGTATGAGAAATAAGGTTCTTCTGTGCAATATAAAATCTCACTAGCATATAAAGCTTCACATTGTGTTTTATAATTATGAAACTGTTTAATATACTAAATGAACCTCCTTCTCCTTCTCACTGTAGGATTGCTTTCCAACTAGGAAAATCAATCACCATAGAATAAGTGGAAATCAAGCTTACAGATGTACCAGCTGGTACCCAGACCACCTCTTCCTGAAGATTTTGGAGCAGAAGTAGCAGATTGCCATCATTGTTCCAGATTCAAATTGGACAGTATTTTTCTGGTGTCATCAACAGGTTAACCTGTCAGTCTGTCTGGCTATGGCAACCTTAACTTCTCAGCATTTATTTCCGCAATAGCAAGGTGAATTCTCAACACATTCATTCCATTCACTTTCTTAACTTCCTGAAATATTGGTGTATAGTTTTCAGTAAGTTCGGGAAATGCCATCTCAACAGAACAGCAAGTGGACTTCCTATGAGGTGATATCCCAAGTCCCCACATCCTTTGCACATCACAGAAGTTTTCACAAGTACCTTGGTGGGTCACACTGACACATACATTCTTTTCTGTGCCCCAGTTGCGCTAGTCTCAATCCTTCTGTGCCCATGTTGAACCACGGAAGGTACAAGGATGGGGATGGAGAGACTCTAGTGAGATCAGTGCATTTCTACACAGAACTGGGTTCCACCTATATTCAACAGTTCATTTCAACCATAGACTATAAGAGAAGCTTCCTAAGAGGCCACTCCCAGCATTTACAGGAAGAAGTGTGAGCATCTGTCTAAGCTGCTTCCAGTTCTACTCACTGCCCCCCTATAGAGCACACAGAGACAAGGAGCCACTCTACCAGAGGTCCTGCTGCTTCGTAGAAAGCACTAGAATACAACACATCCAGGTCAGAGGGGGCTTCATTCTCTTTTCTCCCCTAGTCCACCTTCTCCAGCTCAGAATGACTTGACACTCCTTAAGGTGTATTTTAAAAGATTCATAGTTCTAGTTATTTCACAAATAGGTTTATCTTTAATGGATTGTTCCCTCTGTCACCCTCCTTAAAAATCTCTGATACAATTTAGGCAGTACTTAAATTCCAGTGGACATTCTGTATAGCATATGAGTACCCTACTCTGGGGCTCTAGATGGCATCCATGTACCTTCCCATGGTCCTGCAGGATCACAAAGAATGCAGAGGGACACTGACTAGAAGCTGGATGCCCTTACACATAAAGTCCACAAGCCCAAAACTATGTTATTATTGACATAAAGTTCCTAGCAGTCACCCTATTGGGCCAGTACTCCCTTTTTAGCCTCCTGAACCTACTGCTGTACTCTGTCCCATCCTAGAAACACAGGCTGCTCCCCACACAAAGGCAAGAAGTACATCTGCTCTCAAAGAATCAGAGCAGGGAGCGTGGACTGGTGCTTGTTCTCAGGTCCTGGATCTCAAGCCTACCAATGAGGGAGTCTTGCCACTCTGGCAAATTTGCTTTTATCAAAAGAAATATTGGGCGCCAGGCGGCAGTGGTGCACGCCTTTAATCCCTACACTTGGGAGGCAGAGGCAGAGGCAGGTGGATTTCTATGAGTTTGAGACCAGCCTGGTCTACAAAAGTGAGTTCCAGGACAGCCAGGACTGTTACACAGAGAAACCCTGTCTAAAAAAACACCAAAAAAAAAAAAGTATTTGGAAAGGCAATGCAGGAGGGGAATGAACTAGAGCAGAGTATAATGACTATAATGACTCATAAGGATGAAATTTTCTTATTGAAACCTCTCATTTGAACCATAACTTTAAAAATTAAGAAAAATTAAAACTCATGTCTTATATAACAGAAATGGCATGCAAAATGCATAAGCCAATAAACAACATTAAAATACCTAAGATATAGTAAACTCAGTTTTGTAACATACATGTAAAACATTATTACCTCATTTAATTGTCAAATGAATTTTATGAGGGATATTACAATAAATAAAATTTGTGCACAGAAAGAGTTCCAGTTGTTCATTAAGGATAATAGGGCTAGACCCTAGGTCTGTTGGCTTTGAACCAAAACAGTTAAAATTTGTCTTTTATGCTGGGCAGTGGTGATGCACATCTTTAATCCCAGCACTCGGGAGGCAGAGGCAGGCAGATCTCTGTGAGTTCGAGGCCAGCCTGGTCTACAGAGTGAGTTCCAGGACAGCCAATGCTGCACAGAGAAACCCTTCTCAAAAATGTCTTTTATGAGAAAATTATAAATCCCAGTGCCATTAAAGCAGTATCAAGTTTTCTTCATCTATTATTGGCACACACACACACACACACACACACACACACACACACACACTTGCATGCACACAATACACACACGGACACATGCACACATATGTATATATAAATATAGCCTGCTGAGTTAAATATTTAATGTTTTTTTAAGAGCACACGCACACACACATACAAAAATACAACCTGCTGAGTCCATTTAGAGTTGCTCTTATGTACATGTGTTTAGGGATGACCACTTGGGATTGGACAACCTCTCAAGGAACTCTTCCATGGAAGAGATGAGTTCCTTCTCCTGGCCCCAAGCCCTTTTTGAATTCCCTTGTTTCTGAGATTACTCTGGGTTATATACTCACATCGAAAGATCTGGAGCTAGGATCCACAAATAAGAGAGAATGTACAAAGGTCATTAAATCAAAAGGATAAACACTTAAAGTCTCCTGACATGTGCCATTTAATTCTTTCTAGAAAGACAGTTATTTTAAATTCCTTGTAAAATTTTGGAATAGCTCACTAAGAAAATTCTCAATTACTTTGTGAATAATTTTCTAGACCTTAGCATTTTGAGTAATATGCAATTATTAAACTTTAAACTCATTAAAATAATGGAAATTTGTATAATTTTGGGCAATTGAACAAGTTATTAAACTTTAAACTCATTAAAATAATGGAAATTTGTATAATTTTGGGCAATTGAACAAGATTTATGATCACTACCTCAGAAACACAATTAAACAAAATTAGTTACAGAACTATCAAGAATATAGCAACTAGGCAAAGGATCAAGGCTCTATAACACGATTCAATCCATATGGGAAAAGGTAAGAACATTATTCTCTATGCTCCTATTCAAGAAAATGATGAAGTATTTTGTTCACATAGAAATTCTAGGATGTCAAAAAAAGAAAGAAATTCAACAGTAAAATGCAGCACATTCACACAATACACTTGGATGGGGAGAAGCAAAGGTGTTAACCGGTTTAATTATAAAGAGACTTTTACATGGCACAGTACCTGGTTAGAACTGGCTTTTTCCAGTCTGTCAATCATAATTTCAAATTACAAAGGCTTACTTTCCATGTTTCTGTTAAGTCTATTTAATAATGTCTCATCTTCTGAATCCATATCATAATCTGGTTGCTCACTGTCTAGGTTAAAAGGCTGAATGTGAATGAACTGTATGGGCTGTTTAAACTCCCCTTTTTACAAGCAATGGTAACAGTTGACATTGCTCTCTTTCTAGGGGAACTGGAAGGACCATGCTCTCTCTTTTTTTTTCTCTAAATACTTGCTGCGCTGAAATAGCTCGCTGTAAGTGATGTTCCAATTCCTCCTCCTCCATCCCGATCTGGGGCACAGCCCAGTGACGCAGTCTTTGAGATCAGGCATGTCCTTGCCATGGTAGAAAAGCAGCGGTTTGGCAGCGTTCAGCGCCCACGCTCTGAAGGAGAGTTTACTCATGGTCTCCCTGCCTTACAGGAACAGTCCAGGTCGAGGCGGGGCAGGAGGGCAGGAGGGCGGGAGCCCTCCCGCCACCTCCTTCCTCAGTGCAGCGCGGCCAGCCCTCTCCTCTTCCTTCTCCTCCTCCGCGGCTCCTCCTCCTCTGTGGCGCCTCCTCCTCCGCCATCGACGCTGCCGCCTCCTCCACAGCTGCTGTGGCCACCAGCTCTTCTTCCTCCTCCTCCTCCTCCTCTGCAGCTCCTCTTCCTCCTCCTTCGCCAGCTCCTCCTCCTCCTCTTCCGGTGGATCCTCCCTGGCTCCTCCTCTTCTGCCGGCTCCTCCCCTTCCGCCAGCTCCTCCTCTTCCGCCGGCTCCTCCCCAGCTCCTCTTCTGCCGGCTCCTCCCCGGCTCCGCCCCTTCCGCTGGCTCCTCCCCTTCCGATGGCTCCTCCCCTTCTGCCGGCTCCTCCTCTTCTGCTGGCTCCTCCCCGGCTCCACCTCTTCTGCCGGCTCCTCCCCAGCTCCTCCTCTTCTGCCGGCTCCTCCCCAGCTCCTCCTCTTCCGCGGGCTCCTCTTCTTCTGCCGGCTCCTCCCCAGCTCCTCCCCTTCCGCCGGCTCCTCCTCTTCTGCCGGCTCCTCCCCTTCCACCGGCTCCTCCCCGGCTCCTCCTCTTCTGCCGGCTCCTCCCCTTCCGCTGGCTCCTCCCCTTCTGCCGTCTCTTCCTCTTCCGGCTCCTCCTCTTCCGCCGGCTCCTCCCTAGCTCCTTCTCTTCCGCCGGCTCCTCCTCGGCTCCTCCTCTTCCGCCGGCTCCTCCCCGGCTCCTCCTCTTCCGCCGGCTCCTCCCCGGCTCCTCCTCTTCCGCCGACTCCTCCCCAGCTCCTCCTCTTTCTCCGGCTCCTCCCCTTCCGCCGGCTCCTCCCCGGCTCCTCCCCTTCCGCCAGCTCCTCCCCTTCCGCCGGCTCCTCCCCTTCCGCCGGCTCCTCCCCTTCCGCCGGCTCATCCTCTTCTGCCGGCTGGTCCCCAGCTCCTCCTCTTCTGCCGTTCCTCCTCTTCTGCCGGCTCCTCTTCCTCTGGCTCATCCTCCGGCTCCTCCTCCTTATTGCCCCCCCCCTCACCCCCCCCCACACCCCCTATCCCCACCCCCTTGTCTGCCTGATCCGTTCCCTGCGTGATGGCCAACATGGCCAACATGGCCGACATTACCACAGCAGGAGGTGAGCGATACTGGGAGCCCTTTTTCTTCTTGTCTATAATACTTTATAAAGAATTACGTTTTAATATTTGTTGTTCATGAATACCTGCTCTCGGTTTGTGCCACATACTCACCTGTGGTAGCATGAAATTCTCTTTAATTTGTTCAGAAACTGGTAATGAATTTATTGATCCAATCCAAAGGTGTTTATCTGTAGCTATAAAAAGTTATCATCTATGAGACTGGAGAGATGGCGGCACTGGCTGCTCTTCCAGAGAACCCAAGTTCAATTCCTAGCACCCTCATGGTGACTAGCAACTGTTTTTAACCCCATTCCTGGGTATCCAGAACCCTCTTTTGGCCTCTGTGGGCACCAGGTGTGTATGTGCTGCACAGACAGACATACAGGCAAATCACCCATACACATAAAATAATTTAAAGTGGCCACATGTGATGATGGCTCATGCCCTTAATCCCAACACTTGGAGGCTGGCCTGGTCTATGTAGCAAGTTCCAGGACAGCCAGGGCTACAGAGAAAAAAAAATAATATTTGAAGAGAGAAAACTATCACTCTTATCAAGAGTAGATTGAGAAAAAGACAAAGACAGAAGGGAACATTGGGATGGTGTCATTAACTGTACTTTGATAGACTCAGGGCACTATCCTCTCTGGTGGGCGCCCCAGAAACCCGGACTCCAGACCAGTTGATGCAATCACATGAGGCTTTATTTAAATCATTTGCGCAAAAGGACCCCCCTACACAATTCAGTGAGAGGAGCCCCGAACAATAATTGCAGGCATCTTTTAAAGGCGAAAACCATAATATTAGCATAGCATTCGGGGCAATACATAATTGGCTAGTTTAAAATTCAGTACTGGGGAGGGGTGTATAGCTATGGGGATTTTCCATGGGGGCTGTTTTTCTTCCTAGAATAGCCACAGGATATTCTGCTAGACCCAAATAATATCACAAGATCATTCTGCTGATGCCATAAGAAACATCACAAGAATATTTCTGCTGAGGCTAACAGTTTGGGGGGTCTGGGACTGGTGCTTGTTCCTCTTTTCTAATGTTCTGCTGAGGCTGTGCGGTTGGGGGTCTGAGACTGAGGCTCGTTCCTCTTTTCTAATGTTTAACTCTTTCAACTTGTTATGGAGTTTGTGACCTCTGGAAAAAGACCACAGACTCAATTCAATTATAATTAAAAGATTTCTTGATCAGCTGCTACCAGGACCAACAATATCTGAGCCAAATTTGAGATTGCCATGAAGGAGGGGTATGGGAAAGGATTTTTAAAGGGAAAAACTGCATGAACACCTTCAATATCTACACAAGCAAGCAAAAACTTCTGTTCTGCCAAGTTAAGTGGTTAAGGCAACTCCAAACAATCTTTGGGTATCTTCATAAACAAGTTATAGGAGCAAAACAAGCAGTTAGTAATGTCATAACAAGAAGCTGGTCATGGCTGTCCATTTTGGGGTGAGGGGTCACTGAGTCAGGGTTACTGGGAACTTGTAGTGGTATTGTGTTCCCCGAAATATTGTGCACGCTAATAAACTTATCTGGGGTCAGAGACAGAACAGCCACAATATTAAACATAGAGGTTAGGCAGTGGTAGCACACGCCTTTAATCCTAGCATTCCAGAGGCAGAAATCCCTCTGGATCTCTGTGAGTTCAAGGCCACATTGGAAACAGCCAGGCTGGTGACTCACGCCTTTAATCCCAGGGAGTGATGGCAGAAAGCAGAAAGATATATAAGGCGTGAGGACTACAAACTAGAAGCTTTTGACTGGTTAAGCATTCAGGCTTTTGAGCAGCAGTTCAGCTGAGAGCCATTGGGATGAAGACACAGAAGCTTCCAGTCTGAGGAAACAAGATCAGCTGAGGAACTGGCAAGCTGAGGTAGCTGTGGCTTATTCTGCTTCTCTGATCTTCTAGTATTCACCCCAATAACTGACCTCAGGTTTGATTTTATTAATAAGAACCTTTTAAGATTCCTGCTACATGTATCTTCCAAGGACTGGAGTCAGCAACCAACGGCTGGTGGGTACCAGGATACCTAGTGTAAAGTGAAGCTTCTTTAGCCTTCACATACTCAGCAGCACCCTTGATGAATGCAGCCATGAAAGGTGCCCTAGATGCTGGAATGGTGTTTCTATAACAGCAGGTACCTGTGGCTGAGCCTCAAGGCCACCAGCTGGGATCACAGGCAGGCCTGGCTCAGGGTGGGGGACAAGAACTACACATTCTCAGGTGTATAATGACAGTTGGGGAACCAAGAAACTTAAGATTGCTGAGCTGCCTGTTCCTCCCTAGATTTACCTAGTGTGCTTTCAGTGGATTTCTGAAATCAGGGCAACCCAGAGGCCACAAAGAAGTGAAAAATCAATGTTCTTATCTACTTTCAAACCTCTGAACATGAATATCTTGGAAAAGCTTTCCACAGGCCTCTCCTGCTCTGTTTAATAGACATCATAAGAGCTGTGTTATGAAACCAGCATTGGGAACATGAGCCTACCATCAGCCCATACCACATTTAGCTCCCTTGTACTACTGTTAGGTGCATGACTCTGTGTTAGAGTCTTCCAACAAGTACGTTGTTGCCCTGGATTTTCAAACTAGGTACTCACTAAGGGGAAGGACTCCAAATAGTGAGAAGAGAGGCATTGGCACCAAACAGGAAGAAGGGCCCTTTGTCTCACAAATCATAAGTTTGGGAATATGCAATAGGACAATACAAGGGCGACTTCATTAAGTAGGATACTGAGAGAAACTGGCAGTTTCATAGCTCTTGCTTATGGCCTTTCATAGTTCACAGGTATTTGAAAAATAGTTGTTTTTCATGGCTCCTCACATCAAGGATCGGGACCTGCAATACCCTGGAAGAAAGCATTAAAAATATTAAAATTACCAGCGGTGGTGGCGCATGCCTTTAATCCCAGCACTTGGGAGGCAGAACCAGGCAGATCTCTGTGACTTCAAGGCCAGCCTGGTGTACAGAGCGAGATCCAGGACAGGCACCAAAACTACACAGAGAAACCCTGTCTCGAAAAAAAACAAACACAAAACACAAAAATATTAAAATTGGAGGAGGGAGATAAAGTGCAGGTATACTGTTGAGCCTGAAACAGAGTCAGTGCTCTCTGAGCACTGGATGTGGTGTTATATATACTGAGGCAGTGTAGGGGGCATTGTTATACTCATTATTACTGTGTTATTGGGGATGGAACTCGGGATCTCTCACATTTATGACAAACCACTGAACCTCTGAGCTAGACTACCAACTCTTTAAAGTATTTGTGCGATTAAAAAGTGTCATTTAAAATCTCACTGCCACATAAAGTTACAGGATGCGTGTTTCTATGGTGAGATGAACTGTTTCATATACTGAAGGAATCCTGCTCTCCCTTTGACTGTAGAGTTTTAGGCTAGAAGAATGCAGAGGGTACCAGCAGATGTCCAGACCATCTTGTCCTCAAGATCTTGGAGAAACCTTAGAATGCCAGTCTTATCCAGGAGCCAGTTAGGGATGAGGCTGGGTTCTCCTAGTGCCAACAACACCGAGATCACTCATGCAGAGTCTGACAGCCTTATTTCTGCAGTACTACAGTGTCAATAAAGATGTGAATTCTGAGTGTATGTTCGTGTAAAATATTGTTATACTATTGTTGATTTTGACTGGTGGGACTTCCCATTAATGGAACTGTATAGTTTGTTTATTCTGTTGGGTCTGGATTTTGTCTTGGCACAAAGTTTTCAAGATTCAACAATACTGTATTATTAGAATATCATTCTGTTTTTAATGAGTGATGCTGGACACTGAATCTATGGTTTTATTCCGTTTTGAGTATGAATAATGTCTCATTCTGCATACAGAGCATATTTTTCATTCATTCATCATCATGGGACATGTCAGTTGTTCTAATCTCAGCTATTGTGAGTAATGCTAATATGACTCTGTGTAGATCCATGTGTTTGAATCCTTTCTTTCAGTTCTTCTGAGTATATACCCAGAAATGGAGTGGATCAAGAGGGTTATAATTTCATGTTGATGTTTTTGAGGAACTATGTACCATTTTCCAGAGCAGCTCTACCATTTCACATTTATTGGTAATAATTTACAAGGTGACTATCCTCACACGTGGAAGTTATTTTCTACTTTGTGTAGATGAAATTCTAAACCATCTTAGTAAATATGAAACACAGAGCCAAATACAGAGTTAAAGCCTAAGAGATCAGAGAAAGAGCCATGATTCCCTTTAGCTTACCACTCACTGCTGTTGCTTCCCCTGAGAGAGAAAGACCTTCTTCCTGTGTGACCTGTCTTTTTATTGCCTTTATGTTCTGCCTTCTCATTGGCTCTAAACCCAACCACATGACTTCCTCATCACTGCCTGTCTATACAGACTTCCAGGTCTCTATGGTTGGTACTGGGATTAAAAGTTCAGGTCACCTTGCTTGGCTGTGTCCTTGACCATACAGAGACTCTGCCTGACATGTGATTGGATTAAGGGCATGTGCTACCACTGCCAGACTTCTGCTTAATGGCTATGATCTCTGATCTACAGGCAACTTTATTTATTAACATAAAAATAAAATCACATTTCAGCATAAATAAAATATCATCATAACTTTGGGAATAATAGACATCTCATTTGTGTGGAGTGCTACCCCATTGTGGGTTTGACTAAGACTAACATTTCACAATTATAGATTTTGGCCTTCTGGCTCCAAATATTTATTCTTCTATTTAATGGTTATTGCTCATATTACATCAGGGCTTCTCACTAATTACAGAAAAGATCCTCAAATAGGAAGTGATCATTGATGAGAGTGAGTTTTCCAGCTTTGGTTACTCTAGATATCTGATGAACTAGTTATCTGATGAATTAGTTATCAAAGCTGTATAATTTCCATGAGAAACCAGAATATTTGATTGAGAAACTGTGATTTCCATGTTCTCACTGAAACTACTTATCTGTACTTAGAGGGTGAACCAATAACCAGTAGCTTTTTATAGTCGTTTTTTTCAGTTTTTCTTTATACTTGAGAATTTCATACATGAATACAATGAAACATATTTAATTCCATTTCCCTCCATCAAGCTCTCCATATTCCCCACAACATATCCCATTGTCAACTTCATGTTTTTATAAACTAAGTTTTAAATTGAAATAGAATTATATCCCTTCCCCCCGTTCCTCCTTCCAGCCCCTCTCAGGTACCCTCCCTCAGAACCCTCCTACGTCCCCCCCACTCTCAAATTGATAGCCCACTGTTGTGGGATGTTCTGTATGGCAAATGTGTTGCTGATTAGTCATTAAATAAAACACTGATTGGCCATTGGCTAGGCAGGAAGTGTAGGCGGGACAAGGAGGAGAATAAAGCTGGGAAGTGGAAGGCTGAGTCAGAGAGACACTGCCAGCCGCCACGATGAGAAACAGCATGTGAAGATGCCGGTAAGCCACGAGCCATGTGGCAAGGTATAGATTTATGGAAATGGATTAATTTAAGCTGTAAGAACAGTTAGCAAGAAGCCTGCCCCAGCCATACAGTTTGAAACCAATATAAGTCTCTGTGTTTACTTGGTCGGGTTTGAGAGGCTGTGGGACTGGCAGGTGAGAGAGATTTGTTCTGACTGTGGGCCAGGCAGGAAAACTTAAGCTACAGCCCACTTTTTCTTTTATTATTATTATTGTTTGGTACATATGTGTACAACCTGATGAGTCCATTTTTGTTGTTTGTGTGGATATGGTTTCAGGCCTGACCACTCTGCATTAGATAACTAATCAAGGGGCATATCTCTGGAAGAGGCTAATTTTCCTTCTCCTAGCAGTTACTACTGCCTGTAGTTCTTTGTCTAGGGACAGGACCCTGAAAACTGTTTCCCTCTCCACATTAATGTGTTCATTGGTAGTGCTATTTGTTCTGGTCTTGTTTATGCAGCCATTTCTAGGAGAGACTGTTTCGTGGCAGACTTCCTAGTATTCCAGCTCTTACAATCTTTCCATCTCCTCATCTATGATGTTCCCTGAGCCATAGATGAGGGATCTGTGATGCAGATGTATCTGTTGGGGTTTGGATCCACATGATCCATTGATCTCTGCATTATGTCCAGTTGTGGCATTCTATGGTGGTCTCCATTTGCTGTAAAGAGAAGCTTCTTTGATGAGGGATGATAGCTACACTTACCCAAAGGTATAAGAATAAGATTTAGAATGCGTAAGTAATTATGCTGGTCTAGCAAAGTGGTGATACTGGATTCTTTTCTAAGGCCCTTGGTCTCACTGGCCTGAACAAGCTGGCTAGGTTTCCAGTATCAGGCATAATTTTTCTCCTGTTGAGTAGGCCTTAGGTCAAATTAGACAGCTGGTGGTTGGCACCAACATGTGAGTGCCATTTATTGTACCTTTATGCATATCTTGCTATGCTGGTCATTGCTGTGGTTCATAGGTGTTGAAGATGAGTAGGACTGTTTAATTGCTTCTCTCCCTTGGCAGTTTGCATAGTGTTTTCTGGAACCATGGAAGCTAGACTACAGGAAAGAGACTTTCAGGTCAGATCCACTTGAGCCATCTGATCCTAAGTGTGCAGTGTCTTCAGCAATTGAGTCTCACACAACCAAGGGCTACATTGATAGTCTATATTATTTCAGGAGTCACCTGTATTACCCTGTCCAACCATTTGAAAAGGTGTTTCTCATACCTGGTACTGGGGGTTTTGTTAGTCTATGGTTTCTGTGGGGAGCATTGCCAACCAAAGTGGCTTAGCTTTTTTTTTTAAAAAAAATAACCCACTATTCCAGTTAGTGCTGCTCATATGTACATGAATGTAGAGCCATTTACTGAAGCATGGGAATCCTATTAGTGGCCAACCCTCAAAGAATAATGAAGTTCCCTCCACCAGCAGCCATCAACTGCCAATAGCTCCTTGATAAGGGGTGAGACCTGGAGAATTCCTCCCTGATCTATGTCTGAATTTTGGCTGCCTTGATCTGTAGGTAACCCCAGCTGCTGTGTGTTAATGAGTTTGATAGCCATGTTATGTCCAGAAGACAATTTCACAGCACTGCTCTCCATCGTCCAGCTCTTACATTCAACTTCTACTTCCGTAGTATTCCTTAAGCCTTGGTGTGTGGTAGGAGGAACTGTAGAGGTTTCAATTAGAGCTAAGCACTGAGTCTTTTATTCTGGACACTTTGGCCCCTTATGTATCTCCCCATTGACTGCTGCCCACTGTAAAAAGAAGCTCCTCTGATCAAGGTTGAGAACAGCCTGGGTCTGTGGTTATAATAAACATAAATATTTAGTAGGTACTTTGACAGCATGACCATTTAGCCAAATAGCAATAGTGGGTTCTGATATCATCAGAGAGTGTAGAATTTGGCTCATTTTCTCTGCCAATTAAAAAAGTATAAGTCAAGAAAGGAATGTTTCTGGAAATCCTGGGTATCTCAGCAGAGCCACAATATGATACTCAAGAAACCGGAGTCCTCTCTTTGGATTTCTTAGTTTCATTAGTAAAATAATTTAAAAACAGACACAAATGGAAGCTAAAGGAAAAGAACAGACTCAAATAGAAGTTGATGAACAATTTATTGTAGTTAAAAAAACACCTCAGGGCAGGTAAGTTGCAAACCTCACAGCTGCCTGCAAGGGAGGAAGAGGATGAAGAAGAGAAGAACAAAAGCCATGCTGCTTGAGGCTACACTGAGGTCAGCCACCTGGCAACAGGCAGGCACATGGTGGGGAGGAGAGCTTCAGAAAAAGAGTAAGCCCATGACAGCTAGGGAGTTTAGAAGCATCCTTTGGCTCCTTGAAATGAGGGAGTACTCCATATAAACAAGAAAGAATACTGAGAACCCCAAATCCTCACATGTTAACCCTGTAATGGCTGGGATAGAGAGGACTGTGCATCTAAACAGCTGGCCAGGAAAGTTATTTTCTCTCTCTCCAGTTCCATCCTGGAATCTATCAAGAGTTACTGCTGAAACCTGATAAAAAAGGAACCCTTGACTCCTTTATTCCTCATCAAAGGTTCAGGGCATTGCTTTTTTGTCTTTTTTTTTTCCATTTTGGGCATTCTTTTGCTGTTGTTTTGTTTTCTGAGTCACAGTTTCTCTGTGTAACAGCCCTGGCTGTCCTGAAATTCACTCTGTAAACCAGGCTGGACTCGCTGGGCGGTGGTGGTGCACACCTTTAATCCCAGCACAGCCAGGTGGATCTCTGTGAGTTCAAGGCCAGCCTGGTCTACAGAGCGAGATCCAGAACAGGTTCTAAAATTACACAGATAAATCCTTCTCAAAAAACAGAGCATAATCATCTCCTTGGTGTGGGCTAGACCATGTGGACCGTGGGACCTCCAGTGTCTCAGCCTAGGACATCCCAGAGAAATAAACCATCTCCTAACAATTACCTCAGCCATTGTCCAGACTCTGCCATGATCCTATTAAAAACAAAAACCACGAAGTGACAGAGCTCAGTGGCTCTTTTAAATTTTGGGAATGTCACCTACTCTGGGGAGTCTCTCTAACTTTTCCTCAGTTCGCCCCTTCCTGTAATGATTCTTTGTAGAGCTTGCATCCAGAATTGCTTACTCCTCCTGTCTTTCACCTTCACAGCTGTGAGGTTTGGAGCCAGTACCCAGGGTTGATCTTTGATGCCCTCAGGTATCTGGGTCACCCTAGGACCTTGGTCAAGCACAGCTTGGTAGAGAAAGGTCTCCATCACAATGAGCTTGTGAACACCAGTGGAATTCAGCCCTGTTGGGAGCACAGTCTCTCAGGAGGATCTTGCCCTGGCCTACCCACAGAGTTGCCATCATACAGGGCTCTTCAAGGCAGCACAAGCAAGATTGGGGCATTTTGTTTGAAGGACATTTCCATAATTTAATAAAGTGATTTAGCTGGGCTCAAGGGCCTGCTGAGTTTGAAAAGGTCTTTTGGTTACTCCCTATGACTGAATTTGGACAGTCCAGCATTACCCAAAACTAGAGGTGTCAGCTAAGCAGCAAACCAGAGCCACAGGTTCCGCACCCCCACCGCACACACTCACTGCAGTTTTTAAAGTACTCCCTGCTCTTTGCAGCTCTAAAGTGCTTCAGGCTAAGCACCTCAGAGGACAAGCCCACAGCCACTGAGGCTGTGCAGGCCAGAATGTGTGATTGGACACACTGTAATTACGTTGAGTCTCCAGAAGACAAGCCTTCCGGGTTAAGAGTCACAGCTGTACCTCTGGCGTCAGACCGTGAGGACACGGCTTTTAAGTCTTCGGAACTCGGGTCTGATTGAGAGATTCCCGGCAAGGAGACTCGTGAGGGTTACTGCCACAGTTTCAACAGGATGCTGAGTCCAGGAGCTGATGAGCACCATGAACAGCATGGTCAGTAAAATGGTTCTGATTGGACTTGGGCGAAGTCCAGGAAGCAAATTTGGTGGAAAGGCCAGTGGCGCGGCACTTCGATTACCCGGCTCTGCCTGTGACCCCTCTCCAGGCTTTCCAAAGATCCATGGGCCATGATGCTCAGATGTTTAGCTTTATATTTTTCTCTCTTGCAGGTGGGAATGCAGTGGTCCTGAAGGCTGGAGAGGAAGGAGGAAAGAAGGAGCTTTTACAGAGCGAGCTTGCTCAGGGTGAGCTTGCTCAGGGCGAACTTGCTCTGGGCGAAATTGCCCCAAGCAAGCCTGCTCAAGAAGAACTTGCTCAATCCAGTCTTACTCAGGAAGCCACAGGAGTGGTAGAGGAGGGAGAAAACGAAGAAGAAGAAATGGAAGGAGGTCATGCTGGAGATGGTAGTTCTGACCCCATGGACAAGGGGATCCCCGCGGAAGGTGGTCATGGCAGCAGTATTGAACAGCAGCCTCAGCAAGAGGCGGCAATGCCTGAGGGCACCAAGAGTCTCCAGGCTGGGGACAGGAAACCTTTCCAGAGACGCACCAGATTCACCCAGTCTCAGCTGCGGGACCTAGAGCGTCTTTTCAAAGAGAATCGCTACCCCAGCTTTCAAGTAAGGTAAGCAGAATGCCCTGCTAGGTGCCTGGTTTTCAGGCAGTGTATCCAGGCTATCCTTTGGTGCTCCCTGAACCCTGATTTCCTCTAGAAACAAAGCCACCATGTCTGGACCCTCCAGCAGAAATTGGATTCTGGAGTAGGGGGATGTGCCCTGGTCCAAGTGGAAAGAATGTGTTTTGTTGCCTGTTTAAGTGGTACGTGAGTGAGTGGGAAATTTAGACAATGCTTGTTCTAAATGAGTCTCTGTAAGTATGAGTGAGAAGCCTGAGTTGTGACTGGGAAAATGTAGGAGGGATTCCACCTCAGATTAAAATTTGGCTAACACTTTTCATCATGGAGTCTCTCTTAATGAAGCTTACATGTTAAGTACATAGACGACATACCTGTGTTTGGGGGATTACCCTTAATTTTGGTCCCTGAAAGAACCCTGTTACTAAAGTATGTCTCAAAGCAGGTGTGAGGAATAGTGTGTGTGTGTGTGTGTGTGTGTGTGTGTGTGTGTGTGTGTGTGTGTGTATACGTGTGTGTACACACAAGTGTGGACAGAAACATTTAAAAGCAAACAGGACATGTCCTTATACAGTTTACATCCACCACAAAGCCTAAATGTTGGAATCTTTTCACTTCAGGAAGGATCTTGCAAGATGGATGGGTGTGCCGGAAGCAGATGTGCTGGTCAGTATTCTAAACACAATATTTTGGGAGGGCTCCACATCTTGTGATGTTGTATCTAGAGGATAATTATAGCAGAAGAGTGGGACCCTGAAGTTGTATCCCAAGGACTCCAGACCAGTCCACACCCAGGCTAGGCTCAAGATGAGGAAAGACCTCCATTTTCTCAGGCAGGAAATGCCAACATGGACACCTGAAACCTAAGATGCCAAGGTGCTTTGTCTGACCCTCGGTGAACATAGTGTGCTCTCCATGACCTTCTGAAGGCCGTGCAGCCCGCATGCCTCACTTAAGTGAAGAGACCATGTTCTTGCCCACCTTCAACTCTTTCACTCTGCGTGTCTCAGAAAACCTTTTCTCAGACTTCTTGATCTAGTCTGTAAATGTCCCATGCCTGGCTTAGTTCTGAATCAATACTGGGACCAGGAACTTCAAACGACCTATAACCCTTTTACCTGTCTTTTGTTGGTTATGTATGTGAACTCTGCTCACCATTACAATCAGCCCTGACTTTTCCAGACCACATGCCCACAAGGGAAAGGCCTATACACAGTGTGCTTAGAGGCTAGGGAGGAAGCCTAGAACAGGAAGAAGTGCCCTTTGTCTCATAAAATGTGCATTCTGGATACTCACAAAAGGATGTCACCATGGAGCCTTTCACAGACAGCTTTGGGCCTTGAGTAGTTCTCCCAGGTTCCAAGAGAACTCTTTTTGATACTTTTTGACACACAGCAAGGACCAGGAACAACTCACAAGCTAGATCTGCATCCTTTCCTGAAAGAATGCATTAACAATATCAATTGATGGAGGGAAGCGGCAATATTCTGGGTCTGTCCCATAGCTGAAGGACTGGGTGTGGGAGTACATGTCCTCTGGGTCTTCATGGGGGTGTTTTGACTGTTTCAATGAGAATGAAACCTTTTGTTTCCAGCATTCTGAACAATCAGTACACACTTGAGGTAAGACTTCAACTGTTCTAGGGCTTAGGCAAATAAACAATTTCTTGGCAATCAAAAATGTGGTGCTTTGCTAGGGGAGTTGCTCAGGCCTGGAGCACATACCTACCATACAATGAGCCAGTATACAAGGTTACAGCATGTGTTCTTCAGTGGTGGTACAGTTCAGTGTACTAAAGCAACTCTTTCTTCTGCTTGTAGGATTGGTTTAGGACCAGGAGAGTGAATTTCAAGTGAAGCACTACACTATCAATGCTGTTTGATGCACCACCTGGTCCCCAGAACAACGATCCCTGAAGATTTTGGAGCAGCGCATGAGTTCCACCTCTGTCCAGAGCCAGATGTTGTGGAGCCTGGCCCTGCCCCCAATGTCTCGGCCACCCATGCTGGTCATGACATCCTTTTCTTCCCTGCAATTATCTTAGCAATAAAGAGGTGGATTCTCAGTATTTTGGTTCCATTGTTTTTCAGGTTACTAAAATGTGGGTATAAGTATTTGAACCATAGTAGCCTATTCCAGAAATGGCATTTATGGCAGGAGGTGACACTGGCAGGCTATGGTCCCTGTGCCTTGCCAAGTAAGGAAGATTTCCAGGTGCTATGCTGCTTCATGCTGACCCCATATGGTTCTCTGTACCCTCATCATGGGCTTATCAACTCACTCCACCTCTGTGGAACAATTATTTATAATGCCAGGTGGGGCAAGACCCCAGCAGAGGACACTGTGTTTCTAGTCATGGCTGTTCCCACCCACACTCCAGTAAGTCTCAACCTGGATCCAGCTGGATACTTCCCAGACACTTGTCCCAGGTTTGACAGTGAGAGGAAGGGGTATATGATGTGTGATTTGCATCCTCTCTGTGGACATCCAGGGCACTAGGAGCCACACTGGCCAGAGTCCTGATGCTTGAGAGGGAGAGGAGAATCCATCTGTCCAGGCCAGAGGAATGTTTCTGTTTCATTTCATCCATTACAGCTCAGGTAGCATATGGTCTCACCCTAGCCTGCTCAGAGATCTTGACAAATATGTCTTCTGTCTGCATTTTGTTACCTGCCTTGGAGAACCCTCAGTACTCAAGATTTTGGGGACCTTTGCTTCATAGCAGCTCTAATTTGTATACAAGACTGAGCCCCTAGCAATGTTCTGGAGCAGTCAGACTGTGCATAGAGTAGTACTGCTTTTTTGCCTATGTGAAGCTGCAGGTCCAAATGCACAAAGTCCATCTTGGTGAGATGGAGAGCTATGGCCTAGATGTACAGCCCCAAACGTACTGCATGGTATTGTCCCAACACCATGCTCTCCTGCCCTTGCAATCCGTAGTCTATTTTCAGTCTCTGGGAATATGAGTGCTCCAGGGACCTTGCCTGCTGCAGGTACTTTGCTTTTGAATCTCTATGATGTCTCCCAGCATGCTGATTTGATAGCCCTTGCTGTAGTAACAGGTATCAGAATTTCACTAGGGCTCTGTCTATGGCCCTGAACCTGAGGTCTCCCCTTTTCAGGTCTAGCACATAATATTTCAGTACAGATAACTAGTTCCCCTGGCTTTAAGAATCTTCCACCAGTCATCCTCATGTTCCCTGTGCCTGTGAGCAATGGATATGACAGAGATGTCCCATTTAGACCTGAGTGCTCCACCTTCTCTTGTGTGCCACTGCACAATGACCAAGTGTGGGTCTCTGTACCAACCATAACCTACTGCAAAGAAAATCTGCCCTGAGCTGTCCAGGAGATGTGATGGACATGGTGATGTGCAAGCTGACAGGCCCAGCAGCCTTGGATCCCCTGTTTGTCTTTGGTCAGGAAGAACAGGAAGGGACTCTAGAAGGAGGAATGAAGTCTGAGCACAGCCCCTGCCCCCAGGCTGGGTAGGCTCCATTGAGCTCAGTGCTCATCCTACAGTCCCGTGGGGTTTTGGAATAGTCTGAAAACTGTTCTCAGTCTTGTAAGGGTGGAGTGAAAGCAGTGGTTTCCAGGGGCCTCAGATTGTCTCCAGGGAGCCTGAGTTCCTGGCTGCTTCCAGCTTCCACTGTTTCTCTGTAGGAAGAAGAGTTCCTACACCAGTGAGGCCCCCTCCTCCTTCCTGACCCCCCCAGTCCTCCACACACACTCTGCTGCAGCTGCCACTATCACCAGGGCCTCTGTTCCTAACTGACTTCTGGATGGTATTTTGCAGTCATCTTTATCTTAGGATAATCCCGGAGGGCTCATGGTGGGGACCATACTTGGAGAAGCAGAGAGAGAGAGAGAGAGAGAGAGAGAGAGAGAGACAGAAAGAGAGACAGAGAGGGAGGGAGGAAAGAGAGAGAGACAGAGAGAGAGAGACAGAGACAGAGAGGGAGGGAGGAAAGAGAGAGACAGAGACAGAGTCAGAGAGGGAGGGAGGAAAGAGAGAGAGAGAGAGAGAGAGAGAGAGAGAGAGAGAGATGGGTTCACTGGGGACCTGGAGGCATCAGGAGGAAGGGTCCTGAGGCTCCACATTGGATGTTCCAGCAAGACATGACTTTCCTGAGTTCCATTCAGGCCCTTGCCACCCATCTTCCAGGTACAGAGTGTTATCTGGTGACATGCTCCAGTTCCTGGCTGCCACATCCAGTGGCTTCAGTCTTTTCACTGGGGCTGATGTTCCATGAACGGAACCTGTGGATGGCATCTTGTGTCTCAGCAGACTGCGGATTCTCATCCTGTGTTCCTAGGTTGTGTGGACCTGAGATGTGCTGTTGACACTCTTTCTGGGTACACAGGAGGAATTGGGAACAAACATCTACTAAGCCCAGTTGGAGGTATCCAGCATTTTTCTTTCTGTGTCTTAAGCATCTCTCCCTTATTATGAAATGTTTCACCTCCATTTGGAATGTCTTGTGTCTTCAGGAGCTTTCCTCCAAATGGAATGTCTTATCTTGGAGGAAACTACTATACAATATGTGTATCCAGCTGCAGGGCCAGATCCTGTTGAGGCATGCTCTAGGTGACCACATGTCTGGCTCAGGTTCTGACTGTACTTCCTATCAATTAGAAGAGGCTCCACTTTTCAGTAGCTTACATTGCTGTGCAAGGGACCGTGTGTCTGTGAGAGGGCACCATCATAAAACATGGACGGAGACTGTGGGGAGACCAGGTAAATGTGTGAAAAGAGATCTGTGTTTCTATTGGCTGACTACACATGACTGGCTGGCATCTGTGTCTAAGGGTAAGCGTTTTCATTGACACTTTAAGAGAAAAGACTTTCTGCTGTTCATTGAGGACATTTTGTAAACATCCCTTTACTCAGATATCTCAAATCCATACACAACTTCCTCCTGAAGTCACGGGCCTCGGGTTCTATGACTTCCCTTGTGTAGTAGGACTTATTAAAGTCAGAGTCTCCACTTCAGGGACTCTGAAATCCCTGTCTTACTGTTGGGTTTACCACGCTCTTGAAGAACTTTCCACCCACAGAGAGCACTGTGAGCATAACCACCATGCAGCGTCAATCCTTACCTTCCGGATCTTTCTCTCAAGCCCTTTCAGTGCATAGTAGCAATGCTCTATGTCTCCCCCTTCAGTGAAAGGCTGGATATTTCCTCCAAAACAATGAGCTGTTTGATTTAGCTAATATCCAGCATTATTTGACACGGTTTTCCTATTTCTAGGCATGGTGTTCATGTTTATAGGTTGAGATGTTTGCCCTACAATATAATTAGAATTTCTGGAGGCTGTCCAGCCATGCTTCAGCTCTATACACAGCTAGACCTCCAGGTCTAATACCTCTTTTTTTAAGTCATTAGTTAATTAACGAAAAGCCAGACATTTCTATGCATACCTGTGACCCTTGGGAGGGTGTAACACGAGAAAGCACAGCACTAGTCATCCTGTTGTACACAGTATGGGACATGTGAGGTTCAGGCTTCCCTGGGATACATGAGAGACCGTCACAAACACAAAACGAAGAAACAAACCAAAGGACAACACTGCATTTTCTCTCTCAGGTGCTATTAACACCCCACCCCAACCCCAGCACTCTGAAACACCGTCAATGAGAGCATTGGCTCTACCACAAGAAGTGCACACAACCTCTCCCCTGTTTATGGCCTTCCAGAGTCTGCGGCACTTACTCTGCCCAGGTTATTGTACAAATGCACCCTCTGCCCTCAGCAGTTTGTACTGCAACAAAAAGGGTGCTGTTGGTGCAGTGTCTGATCTTGCAGAGCTGAGAAGCACTGGACAGGACCTTCTATAAGCATTCTAATGCAGATTCTTCACTGGCTGTCTGGAGTCTGTTAACTTTTCCAAGGGTTGCACTGGCTTTTTTGCAGTGCTGCACAACACACTGTAAACATGGGACTAAAATGCCACTGCTGAAGGTGGAGGTCCGGGACTGGCCTCTGCTTTCAGAGTTCTTGAAGACTCTTGAAGCAGACACATCCAGAGCTGACCCTGTCCACTCAATGTTCATCTCATGTGTCATAGAGACTTGGAAATGTGGGGTCTGGGATGATGAAAAATTCTCCAGTCTTCCCCCAAGCCTCACGTGCTCATTGTGAGTTTTCCCCCGTTCCCCACTCTCCATGCTAAAATAAGTGTGCAATCTCCCATAGCCCCATCCCCAAGGTGTTCTGTGAGGTCCAAGAGCACGGGCCAGGGCAGGTTGCCAGATCTGAGCAGGTCTCCTAAAGGTAAGATTCATTGACCTTCTGCCACCCCATGCTTTGGCTATGACCTAGCCCATTCTCACTTCAGAGACTCATCCACTAATGTAGGAAGCACACAGAAAGCCAATAGCAATCTTGAAAGAGGAGAGCCTGAACCTTTGTGGCAACAACTTGCTGAAAGCCCCCAGGTTAAGGCTCCTGCCAAACACCTCAGGGAGGGTGCTGGTCACTAGGCTTCTGAGGAGCAGTAGCCATGGAGCACCTCCACAATTATAATGACAACTTCTACTATCATCTGGAGGACTATGAGGAAGACAGTGGACCCCACCCTGAACTGGAGGGAGCACCTGAATCAGGTGGCAGGGTCTATGAAGGAGCTCTAAGCCTGGACAACAATGAGAACCAACAGGGCAACCTCAACCAAGGAGGCCACATGCGCCTGGGTCCTGAAGGTGACCACAGCAACCAGGTTGCCATGGAGGCGGATCCAGAGGAGCCCGGCAGGGTTCCAAGGCACCAGCACAGCAGGCACCAAATCCAGTTCCACTTCACACAGTGGCAGGTACAGGAAATGGAGACAATTTCTGATAAACCCAGTACCCGGATGTGTTCACAAGGTATGTGGCTGGCACCAGGAGGCACCCTGGCCTCCAGGGGATAGCGTTCATATTGACCTGGCCTTTACCCCTTCTGGGCCCTGTCCTCCTGATTCATTTCCAAACCACAGGTAGCTTCTACCTCATGATGGGTATGGGGAAGTTGCTTTGTGGCATCGAGCTCAGTGTTTGAATCAAGGTTAGTGTTTTCATGCAGTGAT